AGTCAAAATTCTGACTTTTAAAAAATATATATATTATTATTTATTTCATTGTAAATTCAGAGAAAATTAAAAAATTGTAAGAAAATCTGAGAAAAAAGTAAATAAATAAAATCAAGTAAAATAAGAAGATAAATCTAATGAGGAGACATCAGTACTCACAGTCCACGGCCTCTTTAGGACCCATCCCATCGACATCGATCAGATACCTGCAGCAGAACAGGTGTTCACACACAGCTCAAACACCTCACAAACAAAGGGTCCCACGTTACCCGATGCTCAGATCTCTCCACTGGCTCCCTGACTCTCGCCTCCAGAGCATGGTAAGACTCCTGCATGTGGCTGACCTAATCCACCCGGGTTAGAGTCATCCGTAAACACCAGCCCGCCCACTCAGGTCCCACATGCTCAGTCTACTGTCTGTCCCACGCACCCACCTTCAGACCCGCTCATCTACGGTCTGCTGACTCTGCTGATTTAAAGACATTCTTTTGGGTGACCGCTGTGCTCGATTTTATTCTATCTGTCTTTGTTTTGATTTTTTTTTATTGTGTTCTGGTGCTTTTATGACTTCTTAACGCGTGGCTTGTGTGCTCATTTAACATTGTATGATTATTATGATGATGTCTTATTGTTTTATCAAGCACTTTGTGTGAAAAGCACTTTATAAATAAACGTTTCTTACTTAAACCACATCCCATCACAATCTACCTGAACATCTAGGAAAACAGAATCAGAAAACATTATGTTTTTACTTCTTTTATATTTCGGATACATTTATTTTCTTTTATCACATTTAAAAAATGGCTTTAATAAGCAATATGCTCAACAGCATTTCTCTTTATGTATTTCCTTGGAACTGAGCAATCTGTTAATATCTGTATTAGTATTTATAAGATGATGGTCTCCCACCTGCAGATGAGGTACCCGGTGCGGTTCAGCCCGTGCGTGCAGTGCACTCCGATCAGCTTCTCTGCAAAAACAACAAACATGTAAATGTCCTTTCTCTCCTTTAATTCCCTTCTCTTATTTATGTTTGTAACTGCGGTTAAACAACAGAAAAACATTAAATCCAAGCCTTATAGGAATCACATAAAAGTATTTTGAGGGACAAGGAGGAACCGTTAGCGTCCTGGACGTCTGCAATAGCATGTCTCTCTTTCACCTAAGATGTGAAGGGAAGCCGCTCTGAGGCGAAACTTCGCTCACTCGTGTGACGCAGTGACGGTTCGAGAAGAGGTCATGCAGGGTGGCATGGGGGGTCAAGAGGTCATGCAGGGTGGCATGGGGGGTCAAGAGGTCATGCAGGGTGGCATGGGGGGGCAAGAGGTCATGCAAGGTGGCATGGGGGGGCAAGAGGTCATGCAGGGTGGCATGGGGGGTCTTCATCTCTCTCTTCCTCCTGCTCTAACCCTCCTGGTCTCCTCCTCTTCCTCTTCCTCCTGGTCTCTTCTCAGATATGTCTTTGTGTTGTTGTTGAATCACTCCAGCTACTCTGTCCTGCAAGGGTCTACTTGTGAAAAGCTCTGGTACAAATGTGTGTCTAACTTTCCACGTTAGGGCCATGCAGCTGATAAGCAGCATATCATAAATATAACATCAGAAAGTATTGATCAAACGCCCAGGCAGCTGCGTTCAGATCCAGTTTGACGGTAAAGGATGTTTCCTCGTTTCATTGATGTGGCCTCATGGCTGTGATGAGTCATTTACGTGGAATTGATGTTACCGCATAGTTTAGGAACTAAAGCTCCCAGCTAGCGCTGTCTGCGTAGTATTTTGTACGTAACGTCCCAAATAGCGACCGCCTGTTAAACGCTATCGATTCAAACGGCAGCGTTTTATTAATATTTGGTTTCAAGGTCTCGTTTTTAGTAAAAATAAAACTAGTGGAACGGGAGATGCTCCCAGGGGAAGCTAATCCACCTCCAAGTGCTGGTCCACCTCCAGGTGCTGATCCACCTCCAGGTGCTGGTCCACCTTCAGGTGCTGGTCCACCCTCAGGTGCTGATCCACCGTGCTGTTCCACCTTCAGGTTCTGATCCCCCTCCAGGTGCTGGTCCACCTCCAGGTTCTGGTCCACCTCCAGGTCCTGATCCACCTCCAGGTGCTGGTCCACCTTCAGGTGCTGGTCCACCTCCAGGTTCTGATCCACCTGGTGCTGTTCCACCTTCAGGTTCTGATCCCCCTCCAGGTGCTGGTCCACCTCCAGGTTCTGGTCCACCTCCAGGTCCTGATCCACCTCCAGGTGCTGGTCCACCTTCAGGTGCTGGTCCACCTCCAGGTTCTGATCCACCTTCAGGTGCTGGTCCACCTTCCAGGTGCTGGTCCACCTCCAGGTGCTGGTCCATCTCCAGGGGCTGATCCACCCTCAGGTGCTGATCCACCCTCAGG